TGGAACTGGGGATTGAACTCAGGCCTTTGAGCTTGCCAGGAAAGCACTTATTCCACTGAGCCATCTTCCCCGGCTCCCCCTGTGGGTCTTGATGCACTCATCCCTGTGACTGAATTACACTCTTTCCTGCATGCATAAGTTACAAGCATTTTTTAGGTCATTTCATATAGTGTTATTTATTTATGTATTTTATTATTGTTAAAATCCTTTTATTTGGCACAGGGTCTCGCTATGCAGCTCAGACTCCTAGTGATCCTCCTGTCTCAGCCTCCCCAGCGCTGGCATTATAGGCCTGTGCCACCACACCTGGCTTCAGCAGCTGGCTTGGCGCGAAGCCAACACAGCACGCGGTACCAGGGATTGAACCAGGGTCCTTGTGCTTGCCAGACAGGAATTTAACTGCTGAGCTGTTTCCCCCGCCCCCGTTTCATATAGTTTTCACAGATACTAGTTCACTTACTTATGTCACTAGGGAGAGCAAAACCAAGTTTTAAGAAATCAGGAGGCAGGTTGGGAACGTAGCTCAGCAGAGAAGCACGTGCTTGGCATAGGTGAGGTCCTGGGTTCTATCCTGAATACTGGTGGGAAAAGAGAAAAGGAAATGAAAGGAGATGGCTTAGCTAGTCACCAGGACCACAATCTGGGACCCGAGCTCCAATCTGCCTCCTCCAGGGAAAATGGAGAACAAAAAAAAGGATTCGCCAAGCGTCGCACAGCTGGCGTCCATGGCGGTTTCATCTCTCCTTCACAGTGCCCCTGCGGAGGGCGTGGGGACACGCAATGCTTCTGCAGATGGAGAAGCCAAGGCCCACAGCTGTGACTCGCCCGAGGAGACGCAGGCAGTGGGCACAGCGCTGAGAAGTGGACCTCGGCTCGAAGGCTGCTGTCTCACATTTAGCTGACTCCTAACCCTGTTTCCTGGGACTTTTTTCTTTTTCAGGGGCAACTGGTTGGGTCAGGCGCCCTACAAGATGGGGATACCTTGCTCCGCCTGTCCTCGCAGCTATGAAGGCAGCAGCTGCTACAACAACATGTGCTTCCACGGGCCCAACTCCAACCAGTTCCTGAGGTCTAAGCCCTCTCGGCGCTTTAGGGCACTTCCAGTCTGGCTTGGTCCTTTCAAAATCCCTCCTAGAAGACAACATCAATGACTATCTGTTTCTTAAGACAGGAGTCTTAAGGGTGTCCTGCACCTGTGTGGTTTCCCCTCCTGTATGTCTGGTTGTGTGTCTCAGAAGGAGAGACTTCCTTTCCTGCTCTCTTTCCTTACTTACATCCTCCTTCTGTGTGACCATCTTGCAAAGACCTGCATCCTTAAATGGCTTGATTTTCCAAGAGCCTTGTGACTCTTGGGCTTCAAATCAAGACCGTCCATCCACTGCAAGTCACTTGCTAAGCAATCTTTTGCCTGAAATCCACCTTCACTTGTACAGTGCCAGCCAAGCCGGGCAGCCTTTGAGGGCTTGTAGTTCCCTCCCTGAATTGGACAGATTTCAGTGCCAAGGTTTTAAAAAAACTCTGCGGTTTCCTTGCGAATATTCCGCTCCGACCCTTACTGTGTGTTCCTGTTCCCTACCACGGGCCCAGACCAGGAGACGGTGGACGGTTCCGGCCTCCCAACGCCTCTCTGAGCTCGCAGGACAGGAAGCAAAAGCCCACGCTGACCTGCGGGCACTGCCTCTGCCTGCGCCAGCCCTTTACAGCTTCCGGATCACTCTGCCTTTTTCCAAATGGTCTCTCTTTTCGTCTTCCTGTCTGCTCCATCCCCCTCTTCTTTTCCGTCCCTGCCCCTGAGTCTCTGCTTATCTCTTTCTCTCCTATTCGGATCTCCTTCCCATTCCAATAAACCATTTACCAACTCCTCTCTTGTCCCATCCCATGCTGAGATCACAACACACAAAAGTCCTTTTGTTTCAGAGATAGTAAAATCTCCTCCCTCTGACCTTGGCCTCCAGCTGGGGCCCACTCCCTGCCTGGCTGGAGAGCGCACTCTGATCAAAGATGAAAAACAGGCCCTCTCTGCAGCCAGTCCTCCTAGGGAAGAGCTGTGTCTGCTCTTCGACTTGCCCACTCCCACAGACCAGTGCTCTCCTGTCAACACCAATAAAGCCCTTCGCGGTGGCTCCTTCCGGTCCCTTCTTCTCTCAGCTCCCAGGAAGATCAGAAGACAGGGGCAGAGGATTCGCTGGGAAAGAGCAGAGTGAGGAGAGGTCACCTGAAGAGCTAGGGAGGGGACTGACAGCCGGCCCTGCTAGGCAAAGGGTAGATGCCTGCGGCAGCACCCTTGGGTGTTATTACAGAAGAGAAAAATGGGGCTTGGGTGAGTACTAATTGCTAAATGCTGGAACCTAATGAAATAAGAGAATCAGGAATACTGTTGTAACATTATTTGTGGATGGCTTTCCTATTAGGGGGAGAGGGGTCCAGGGTCCTACCTTTTGTAAAACAATGGTGATAGTCAACGTTAGATTTTTAAAAATTATGAATTCCCTTATTTTGAGGAGCAGGATTTCCAACTCTTTGTCAGTCTCCTCAAATGTTCTAGAAGCCTAAGTGGTATAGAAGTCCTCCAAGGGAGCAGGGTCGTAGTCACATGGTAGTAAGAAGCAAGCACAGAATCCAAATTCCCCTTTCACCTGCCCCCAGACTCATGCTGTTTCAGTGCCACATTGTATTTCTGTATCTGAATGACTCATGAGAATGACACCTGGTCCTTTTTAGCTGCTTAGTTGGGGTGGGAGCACCCTACGCTCCTAATCTTATTGAACAGTATTTTAGGTGATAAGTACTGATCCTGTCCCCAATTTGTAGGTATAAAAACTGAGGCTCAAGAAGCTTCATTTGAAGCCAGATACAGTAGCACACACCTGTAATTCCAACCCTCGGGAGGCTGAGGCAGGAAGATCACCTCAAGTTCAAGACTAGCCTGGACTACATTGTGAGTTCAGAGCCAACCTAAAAAAAAAAAAAAAAAAAGGATACAAAGGAAAGATCATTTTGTACTTATATATACAAAATAGGATAAATTTACAGCTACTTTTGCTTAACTCAATGAGAAGAAAGAGGTGTACTAACAGTGTTTGGATAGAATATCCTGTCTGCTTCTTGTACTATGGATAACCACTAAGAAGATAATGATGTACAGTGTATTGACTATCAAAACTGTCCTATTAATCAGCTGTGAAACTGTCTCATTCATATTTATTTCTCAATAAAAAAATAAATATATAAATTAAAAAAAAAAAAAAAAAGGCCAACCTGGACTACCTAGTGAACAACCCTTAACCTTGTTCACATGCTTCGCAGTTTAGAAGAAAGGCACTCCAGGAGTATGCAAAGGGAGAGACAAAAATTGCCTTTGTAGGATGGGAGTGAATCCCAGATGACCTCCTGGGCCTGCTGTTTCTGATACAACCTTTGAGAAGAGCTCATGCCCAAGGGAGAAAGAAGGAAGCTACGCCACCTCTGCTTTGGACATATCTGAGTTGGCAGGACTCAGGATTTGGGCCGAGGGTTCTAATTGACATCTGGGTTTGTTACCGTGCTGTTTCAGTGAAAGGGGAACTTTCAGTGCAAGAGGCCTGTTTCTTCTCTACCGTCTGAGGGCCAAGGCTGTAGCCCTGGGGTAGCATTCTTGCCTGGCATTTGCAAGGCCTTATGGTCCATCCCCAGCATCACAAAAACACAAAACAAAACAAAAAAACACTATAGCAACAAACTCCCTACCCCATCCCACCTGAGGTCATGACACACAAGAGTCCTTTTGTCTCCAGGGACACATTTGAGCTCTGTAAGGTGTCATGCTTTCTGAAGACTTTCATACCCATCCTTATTGGCTCATTCATGTCAAGAACCAAGAGGGTTGGCCCTGGAGCCAGGCTGCCTGGGCCCAAGTCTAACTCAGTGGCTGTGTGTCCCTGCAGTGCCTCAGCCATACAGGGGGTCGTGAGTCATTTCTACTTTATGAAATCTCTTAAAGTATTATATGATGGAATACACAGAAAGCACTTCGATCCTGCTTTGAGCACAGTGATAATTAATAGCGGTTAGGATGAGCAGAGTGCTACTCATACCCAAGGTGGTCTGCCACCTGTTTTATGAATAAAGTTTTATTAAAACAGCCCTGTGCCAGGAGTGGTGACACACACCTGTAATCCTAGCACTTGGGAAGCTGAAGCAGGAGGATCTATATAAGTTCAAGACCAGCCTGGGCTACAAAGTGACCTCAAGGCCAGCCAGAACTACATAGCAAGACCCCATCTCAAAAAAAAAAAAAAAAGAAAAGAAAAGAAAAGAAAAAAGAAAAACTAAATAAATGAAAATAAAAATCACAGCCATGTATTATTTTTTTTCTTTTATTTTGTTTTTCATTTATGTATTTGGTACAGGGTCTCACAATGCAGCTCAGACTCCTAGTGATCCTCCTGTTTTCAGCCTCCCTGGCGCTGGGATTAAAGGCGAGCACCATGCTTATCTTGGTCCCTGGCTCAGGGAACCCCGGGGTGGGGCCGATGCAGCATGCAGGACTGGGAATCAAACCCTGGTCCCTGCACTTGTCTAAGTCTGCTGAGCTATCTCACCAGGCCTGTACATTCACTAGTTATTGTCTACAGCTGACGTTGTGCTGTAGAAACAGAGATGAGAATCACGGCTTACAAAGCCAGAGATATTTACTATTGGGCCCTTCACACACACACACACACACACACACACACACACACACACACACACGTGTTATGCTCTGAGATCCGTAAGAGTCTCGTATTCCTGGAGCTTATTCAGTAAACAAGATGAATGCAAATATTTTATTTGAACTGAAATAAATGTCACCTGGGAGAAGAATGGGGAATTACTGTACAAGAACACAGTCTAACTAGAAAGGGCTGTCTGCGGTCCACTAGATCTTCCTACCAAGGGCTTTCTTTCTTTTTTTAAGAGTGTGTGTGTGTGTGTGTGTGTGTGTATGTGCGCGCGCACCTATGTGTGATACCAGGGATCCAATCCAGAGCTTCACACATTCCAGGCAGATGAGGAAAAAGCTAGACGCCACGCACAGCCCTTATTTCTCATTTTTAGATAAGTCCTTGAGCTTGTGAGGATCACAGGTCTTATAATAGCAGCCATGTGGGGACTGAGAAGGACCAGCCTGCTGTTGCGAGACTTGCACCATCATCCCTGGCTTAGAGGAGGCACAGGAAAATGAGGAGCTACTAAGGTTCAGGGGAAGTAAGGGCTTTGTGGGTCAAGAGCTCAGAGACAGTGTACAGCAAACCCAAGGACTGAAGGAAGAAGATCTGGGTGTAGGAGAGAGGAGAGATGACCTATCTTTTTGTTGTTGTTGTTTTGTCTTTTTGAGATAGTCTTGCTCTGCAATTCAGGCTGGTCTTGAGCTCATTTTGTAGCTCAGGCTGGTCTTGAACTCAGAATGATCCTCCTGCCTCAGTCTCCCAAGTGATGGGATTACAGGTGTGTGCCACCATGCCCCACCAGATGACCTATCCTGGGGAGCTAGGCAGGGGCCAAACCATAAGGTCATGGGCCTTCCCTTGGGGGGGCAAAGGGAGTTACAGTGAGATCATAGGCTTGGAAAGATAGGTCAGGTTTCCACTGGAGAATAAAATGGGGTCAGTCAACAAGAGAAGGCTATCTACAGTCCACTAGATCTTCCTACCAAGGGCCTTTTTTTTTTTTTTAGGGTCTTTGTGTGTGTGTGTGTGTGTGTGTGTGTGTGTGTGTGT